CAGTCAGTTTACAAGTGAAAGAAAAGATACAATGGACCAACTTGTTATCAGTTAGAATAAAAAGAAAATATTGCTCGTGATACATATCAAAATGAATCCTTAATTCAAGTTATAATATTTGTATACTAGGTATATTGAGCAAATGAACCTTTAACCATAGTATACATGCTTATTTACAAATATCCCGTAATACCACAGCTTTTCTTTTTTCTACATGTAAATGCAGGCCTAATGGAGATAAAGAAAGGTAGTCTTATGCATGCTCATTTATATGTAAAGTTAACAATTGAATCATTCATACCCTTACCAAGTTTCGTAATTTTTAAAGCATGCGAAAAACGATTTTTCCCAATTTACGCTTCTTGAGAATGTGATATATTATTATGGCTTATATCTAAAAGTATTTAAAAAAGCCCTTATTCAATCACCTTTCAATCTTGAGATAGGAAGAAATCACAAAGAACTTCAAATTTGCAAGGGGTACAAATACTTTAGTTATTAACTGTACAATATGTTATGAGGAGACGCAGTGGCTCAATGGTAGAGCAGTGGTTTCAAAACCGAGAGGTTCTGGGTTCAAAGAAAAGTCAAAGTGCTATGACCCTTTGGTAAGGCATTAATCCTCATTATCAAGTCCCTTGGAGGGGGCTTAAAGCCATTGGTCCACTGGTTGCTTACTTACAAACACAAGTTTGAGGGCAAGTCAATGTACTAGTGCCCTTTGGTATACATGTAAAGGCATTAATCCTTATTATCAAGTCCCTTGGAGAGGACTTAAAGCCATTGGTCCCCTGGTTGCTTACTTACTTATACAAGCATAAGTTTGAGGGCAAGTCAATGTAATAGTGCCCTTTGGTATAAATGCATTAATTCTCATTATCAAGTCCCTAGGAGAGGACTTAAAGCCATTGGTCCCATGGTTGCTTACTTTACAAGCATACTCATGCTTTTCTAGCAATTGGGTAAGAGGAACAAACCATTATGGAAATGAAGATGTATTCTATTAATTACCCCAATGGTTTACTATAGCGGTTTTCCCATGGCATAGTTTGCACAAAGCTTAATAGTGTGAAAACCCAACAGCTGTATCATTTTATCATTGTGATGCAGTTACTCAAGTACAAGCACATCCTTTGTCGGTATTTGGTCATCACACCCAGACGGCTCTTTAACATGTAGAATATAACGGCACAACCTTAAAAGCATCATTAACCTTTCAAAGCGAAAAGTGACAAATGCTGGAAACGGCCATATCCATCTTAAATTACCCTTAAAAGCATATCAGACAGTTTCAGAGAAAGGTAAATTGTCTACAAACACTTTGCCTACTAAACATTCTTTGCTTTCTCAGTTAAGTACATTTGGAGAGAAAAAATTTGAATCTATAACCAAGTGTTTCATTTTCGATCAGACAAATGACAAGGTATTTGCTTCTTATGGTTTAACTGAACTACATGTATAACACTAGAAACTTTGTACATTCTATTTTGGTTAATATTTCCGAGTGGTCTGGATTTGTGAAAGTTTCATACCACATAATCATTAGATCCCAACTGACATAACAGTATGATAACACTAAACTTTTGCAATTTGTGAGTTTCTTTCTGTGAACATCACCCTCATTTACACCCCCCAAAATGCTCATGTTTCAAAGAATTTCTGGTTTTGCACTCTATAGGTTGCTGTCCTATATAAATTGTGACGGAATATTTTGGTCGTGGCTCTAAAACACAGATAAATAACACTTTTAAAACATAACTTTGCTCAGGAGACAGACATCTTGGGAGACTTTAAAGTGGTCACCCAGACAAATTTTATTACACATCATGCAACTGAATGCATTAAAACCTAATCTCTCAGCTGAGTTGTGTCAGACATTCCATTAACAGTTCATCATCTGAGGGACTTTTAAAAAAGTTTTTATTGAAATGGCCTTATTCTCTATTCCATCACCAATGATTCATTTTCACTTGCTTTTTCATCATTTTTCTTTTAAATGACCTCTCATTGGAATATGTTATTAAATAAGCATTAGTTGTACATGTTTGGATCATGTTATTAATTAAAGAAGGAGGGGGGGGGTACAATTTAGAAAGCAAAAAGGTAGTATAAACAGTTTTATTTGAATCTGCCTATTGTACATTCTTTGACTGTTTAATAAAACCTTCATTGTTCAAAACAAACCTTAATTGAAAACCCCTGGGGCTTCTTTTCAGACCAACTATAAACTAAACTTGGATATAAACATTTGTAATTGGTTACAACCATCAATACATGCATATAAGGGCTTTCCTACTTCATTTTGTCTGTTTAGAGCCAGAGAAGGGCATTCCCTCACATACTTTAACACAGAGTGAATGTCCTTTAAGCTACAGATAGACAATTTATTGCAAGTTACATGTGTAACCGCCATCAAAACTGGGTTCATTAAACTTGATTGGTAAAGATAAAATTGGAGTAAATATTGTCAAAAGTTTGTTAACCCACATAATTTAACAAAATTCATGCCATATTGGCTATCAACAGATAATAATAAAGTACACTTACAAATGTAGCTATAAAGAATCTCTACCATTTCAATGCACATTTGACGACAGAAAGAATGACGTGAGGAAAATCTACATGTTCTGATTTCTCAAAACTTGATATACCACACAATACCTGTTTTATGACACCGCAAAATGCTCCTTACAAGTCGGAATACAGCATACCACAGAGGTATAAAAATGATAAACTACATTACATGATCTCATACAGTTAGTATTGCAAATTCATTGTGTACCAAAAGGCACTCATCAAAATACATCACTTGGAATAATTATCATCTACAAGTATTGCAGTATCATACTCTATTTGTACCCAAACTAACTCAGTATCCAATCTAACAAAACACTTGTTACTAATCACATTCAACTACATGTACATGTAGCATATCATACAAATGGGTAGAACTACCTACGTCTATATGTTGTGCTTGTACAATGAGACAAATCCTAAAGTAAGAGTCAATGTCTTTTTCTCTTCTTCTTCTGATTAAGTCTGCCTCCTTCAATTGACTGAAGATTCTTGCAAACTTTACAGGAGTCAACTCTTGTTTCACCCTACAGTTCCAATTCTGATGCATGTACAAGCTCACAAATGAATTGTTGAATTCAAATATCTGTTTTCCAAGAGATGTAGCAGTTCAATTATGGATTTTAAACAGGTTAAAGCAACTTGCTGTACAGGTAAGTACATCCTAAGTATAAGAAAAATGGAATTGTCCCTATTTCATTTTTCTTGAGAATGTGACATACCAGTATTAAAACTTACATCTACAAGTATTCAAGAAAGACCCTAATTCAACCAGTCCACCTTTTATTCTTGAGTTCCAAAAGAACCAGAAAACCGTCAAATTGACAAGGGGTGTGGACAATTTAGCTGTTAACTGTACATACACCACTAGTGGATAATCTAATTAAATTTATATGCCTCTAAATATCTGTTGAGAGCCAAATGGTCACTCACTCAAGTACAGATATTCTTTAGCAGTGTTAACCCCCTTCTCGCTCTCAATACCGGTAGTCAAACTACAATACTAGAATATTAATAGCATTTGCTCGAAACTATGCTGAATGGATGGAATATTGGACCAGGTTATTTGATCCATGTGTTTAGATAATTGTCAAATCTCTAGCAGGGAATTCAGTTTATCATTTTAATCGTGCATTTTACAAAATGTCCCAATCCCAAATCATAGAAACTGATGTACATGCATGACTACCGGTATACATTGGCATGCACAAGGAAATGAGATGAATTTTAAAACTGGATTGGAATATTTTGTATACACAACATCCATGCAAATTATACAAAAATTGACAAAAAATGTTGTGTAATTGTTATATATTATATTGTAATTTTGTAAGTAAAGTTATTCCTCACATAATGAAAAGTAATTTACAAGTCAAAATAGACAAAATGTCTGAATCTTAATAAAATATCTAGGTACTACAGATACATAGCCTTAAAATGTACACACAAGTACATGTAGGAATGTTTTCCGGATGCAACTGTACATTAAAGACAAACACAATTTATTTTCATTGATACATTTAGCTGTAATTATATTATATTCCAGTGAAATAGAGAAACAATAGACAATTTGAGATCCTTTCGTATTTGTAAAAAGATAAATCTTAATATGTCCTTTACTTTGACTAAGACATAGTAAAACAGATAAAAATACCATCTTTTATTTTCGAAAAAGAGAAGAGATATCCAAAGTAATATTCCATATTTTTCAAATAAAACTAAAATAAATATCAATCAAATGTAACTTTAGAGAATACATTTGAAAGTTTGTTACACAAAAAATAGAGCAATTTAAAATTAATAATAATGGTATTAATATTCTGTTCTCCCATATTGCAATTGTTTTTGTTTTTATTGATTGTCTTGGTGACTGAAACTCTCAATTGATTCTGCTCAATTTTGTTACACAAAAAAAGAAAATATGGAGTAATAATAACGTTATTAATATTCTGTTCTCTTATGGCGCAGATCGCTTCACATGTATATATGTTTCCATGTGCTTCCAAATGCTCAGGAAACCATTTCTGGACTATATAGCCCTTCTTATAAATTCCCAACTATACAGTATATACTTTTATATCTCTTTACAAGTTTACACACACACATATAACAATCTTTCTATTATTATTACATAAGTATTGTCTGTAAAGAGCCAGTAGAGCATTAGATACAGTCAAACCTGCTTTAGTGACCACCTGTCTACAAAGAACACATTTTTTGTTTCCCTTGAAAATGGTTTCTCATTGAAACATGTACTAAAGGAACCTGTCCATAAAGACCACCTGTCTACAAAGACCACTTTTTTTTTTTGGGGGGGGGGGGTCTCCCTTGGGTGGTCGCTATAGACAAGTTTGACTTATTGAAACATGTACTAAAGGAACCTGTCCATAAAGACCACCTGTCTACAAAGACCACCTTTTTGGGGGTTTCCCTTGGGCGGTCGCTATAGACAGGTATGACTGTATAACTCTTTATGAAAGGATAGGAATTTTTGCCCTTCTGGCTCTCGAATTACACATTTCTTTTGTTTTGTTTTTGGTAGTAGGATCGACTCACACTGTCAGCCAGGACGTCCCGTCCGGGTGGTCCACTATAGAGGGTCGACCACGGGGGCCTGCTCAAGGTGCTTGATCTTGGAGCGGCAGACGACGCAGCGTAGGGGCAGGAGGCGTTGGGACAGCGCCATCTGGATGGTCTTGACGAAACACTTTCGGCAGATGACGCGGTGGGTGCAGGGGTATGTACATATCACCGCTTGTCTGGCCAGGCATACCACACACTGAAAAGAAAGAAGAAAAAAAAAAAGAGAATACAATTATGAAGAGTTTATTTTGCAAATATTTCCTATACAGCTGTTTTAGATGGAACAAAATAAACACAAAAGGTGCGAATGGAACAATGATGCTGCTCCCACTCGAAAAAAACTTCTAAACAATGGATACGCATGGTGAGACGTCCATCCGTAATGGGAGGGAGGAGCCTTGTGGAATTTACATGTATATGCTTCAACTTGGTAAGTTTGTAACATTTTGCTCCAATTTTGCCCCAAAGTCAAGTACATGGATGCTGTCCATACTAATTCCTAAGGGTTTTACAAATGTCAGAAATAAACATTAACTTGAATTTTATCAAACAGTAGGTCACAAACACCATAGATATATTGTCTTTTGAGGAAAAAAGACAATTGAAAATCATGCATTTAACAAAAAAAGTTACTATGGATTTCTTTTCACTGATCATTTAATATTCATTTCATGACTTGTATAAACTTATGTTCTTGCAGAAACTCATGGTAAAACCTGAAAGGGAGATATTGTATTTTTCTTCAAATGCAGCTTTGCAATCTTGTCTTTCTCTGATCAACACTCAGATTTAATAAGACATTTTCTACCGAAGCTTTGTGCAGATTTATCTTTGTATTTAAAGGCTAAATCAAACAGCCCAAGCTTTTTTATCTCCAATATTTGGAAATCAACTTTCCGTCATTTCCCAGGACTCAAAGTGTGGAGCCCAGAAATCGAGTGCCTGCATAAATGAGGTTAATGACAAATGACCTCCCGACATCTTATCCTGGTCATATCAAAATCAAAACCTGGTCAATTTTCTCCTGTGCTTGCCTGGAGTGTCTCGCCCATTAAGCTAGAAACCCTGGAACTAGTAATCCATCTCATGTTGAAGTCTTAAAAGGATATCATCTGCTACCTGATCTCTTTGAAGTCCAATACTGGACATCAAACGCTATCGGGTATGGCATTTCAATTTCATCTTCGGCTGAAGGTTATTCGTACACGCACCCAGGGGGCATACTATCGTATAACTACAACAATCTAGATCAGCTAACAAACTTTGAGGTAGACGGGTGCCAGTATGAAGAGTCATATTATACCAGTGACCTAAAAGTGAAGTTAATTTACATCTAAAACTTTGCTTCCAGGCACTAATTATCTGGCTTTGAAGCAGGTGGATTGAAGAAAAAAAAAAGGGGGGGGGGGGGTGTGTCTTTCAGCGATAAACATACCCCCCCCCCCTCCAAAAAGAACAAACCAAAAGGGTTGTTCCTTTTTTTTTTGCTAATGGAGTAACAATTATTAAGCATGTTTCCTTTATTAGCGTATAGCTAAATGTTACCTCAACATCAGTATTTAATGAGAATAATATACAAACTGGTGAAGTTGTGATGGTTGTAGAAAACTGAAACAGAAGTTATCCTGGAGATGCTACTGTAGGGCCCACTTGCCCGAATTAATGCCTCAGTCACATCGCCAAACCGGCTCCAAACCGACTGACCTTTTGCCATTCAGGTTAATGTAACTGTTTGATTGGTCAATTGTCGGGTCTTGTTGGTGCGATTGAGGTATTAATATTTGATGAAGCCCCCATTTTTTCTGAAACTGTGCCTCCTTGAACCCCCTGTAATACATGTAATCTTAAGTATACTGTACTTGAAACCAGAAGGTAACTGTTATTTTGTATACGTACTGTAGCTTAGATGTGCAGGGGAAAGCAGTTTGTTAACTGAAGAGGCAACCCTGCTTAAATAAAATTATAAATAAATAGATGTCACTATACGCCTGTCGTCATCAGACCGAAGTTGCAAAATAACCAACTATTTTAACTAGCCTGACCTTAAATCAGCCAGCTAATTTGGTTCCTCATCAGCCCACAATTGCAGTTACAGTAGCAGGCTATTTGGTTGAGAAAATATCCAGAGAACTCTTGGACTTGTTTCCAACAACCTGTTTAACCCTGCGCCCGTCTGAGTTAGTTTGTGATGAGCGTATCAGTCTGGTGAAGACGCAATTTCGAGCTTCAGGAATATATCTAGGGCCTGAAAACAGCGGGTTATTTTGCAACTTTGGTCTGATGAAAACAGGCCTTATGTATTCCACGTTGCTTTCTGAAATAGGTCGCGCCCAAATAATTGAGATGGTGATGAACTTTAATGGGCTTCTGATGTTATAGGGAAATTAATCTCTCATGGCATCCAATCTAAAAGCATGTGTGATGTCTTTAGGGAGTAGTTTAAATGAAGGATGCGGTCATTCCGTCACAAGAAATTGATGGAATGAATGCATTATGAGTATGATATCCTAGCTCTCCCTCTCTCCCTCGCACAGAACTTTTATGTCTCTCTCTCTCTCCCACCTTCAGAAATGATCTCTCATCTTGATAACTTTCCATCTCTCTCTCATAGATGTAAACTATTTCACTCTCTCTATATCTACATTTTGCTCCCTGTCTTCGTCTCCTGTCCTCTATCTCTCCCGTTCTCCCCCTTTCTCTCTCTCTCTCTGTCTGTCTCTTGCTATCTCTCTTCTTTATTCCACTCTCATCTCTCTTTTCTATCAAGCCCTCTCTCTATCCATCAGCCCACATTCTTTCTCTCTCTCTCTCTCTCTTGTTCTCTCTTTCTTGGATCTTACTGCTTTCATATCCTTTTCACCCTCCCCCCACCTCTCTCTCTCTCTCTCTCTCTCTTCTTTGTCTTGATCTCTATTAAATCCAATGTATAGCTTTCTCTCTTCTCATCTTGCTCTCCCTGTTTCCTTGCTCCCACTTTCTTTTTGTCTCTGTCTCTGAATATCTGTTTGTATGTCTGTCTCTTTTTCTGTCTCTCTGTCTCTCTCTCTCTGTCTTTCTTCCTCTCTCTGTCTTCCATTATCTGATATCTGAATATATGTGTGTGTGTGTGTGTATGTCTGTCTCTCTGTCTCTCTCTGTCTTTCTCTGTATCTCCCTCTCCCTCTTCCTCCGTCTCTCTCTCTCTCTCTTTGTCTCTCTTCCCATCTCTTCTCTATGAATATGTCACTGTCTCTGTCTCTCCCTCTCCCCCTTCCTCTGCCTCACAGCAATGATGACGAAACACCATAATCTAGTATTCTTCACGGTTGGTCAACACATGAATCAATTTGCAGGGCTCTTGCCAAACTCCAAGAGGAGTTTGCAACATGCACACTGCTGTCATGGCAACTGTATTATTTGTTGCCTTCCAAAGGATGCTGGCTGCTCATGTCATGAATAAAACATGTCATATTGACTCGGTACACGGTAGAATTCGTCCAGGTACAATGACAAAAAATTGAAAGGGTACATACATACATACATACATGTAAATGAAAAAGAGCAAAATCCTTTCATCAATCTAAACTTGCGCTGTTGTCGGCGCCTACATCCTCTCTAGATTTGATAATGTAAGATACAGTATACGTATTTCCAATGCTAACACCGTGTTGAAAAGAAGAAAAAAAATCATCATCTTTTGGGCTTGGCCGATGCATCATTCATCCCGGATGTGCATGCATCATTAAACTTGAGTTTGCAGAACATGGTAGAAACACCTGTTAAGAATGCTCTATGTAAAACATTGATTTAGAAGTTGCCCTAATGAATGTGCAGAATACAAAAATGAACAAATAGTAATAAATTCTTAGATACTCAGTAGATATCAATTCTTTTGTTGAGGTGGATGTGTAGTGGATTGGATTAAATATTTGGCTGGATATGCGAGCAACATGGATTCAAGCCCTGGTGTGGCACTAGTATCCTTTGGCAAGACATTCATCTAATTTTGCTACTCTCCACCCATATATTGCATTGGTAGCATTATGTTATGAATAGATAAAGCAGTGTTGCAACAGAATTCAATCTTCTGCCAGAAAAATGACATGGCTTTAATGTTTTTGCCAGCAGTAACAGTGAGGATTGAAGGACCTCCTGATGATGGAAATACCATCACAATTTCAGTAATTTTCATGTTACTCTCTGAAATTTGAGGACAGAGCAGTAACCCCTTTCAAAAGAATACCTTAGAGGTTTTGTGGTATAATTGTTCATTGAATTGACTTTCAGCCAATAGGTTCAGGGTTTGATTCTCAGCCAGCCACTGACATCCTTTAGCAAGACACTTATCCACATTCAGCATCCTCCATCCAGGTGTACATAGGTACCTGGGAGCTCGTTTATTTTTTGGCTCAGTCAGTAGAGCGTCCGCCTCACAACCGGGAGGTCGTGGGTTCGAACCCCGGCCACGTCATACCAAAAGACATTAAAAGATGGGAGTTGTTGCTACCCTGTTTGGCGTTCAACAATAAGGGATCCCTTTCCCTTTGATTCTCAGCCAGCCACTGACATCCTTTAGCAAGACACAAATCCACAATTGGCATCCTCCATCCAGGTGTACATAGGTACCTGGGAGCTCGTTTATTTTTTGGCTCAGTCAGTAGAGCGTCCGCCTCACAACCGGGAGGTCGTGGGTTCGAACCCCGGCCGCGTCATACCAAAAGACGTTAAAAGATGGGAGTTGTTGCTACCCTGTTTGGCGTTCAACAATAAGGGATAGAGCAACGTCGATCTGGCGCTGCTCAGTGGCTGCCGGGCTCACGATCAATTGGGCAAAAAGAATTTCCGTTTCGTTTTAATAAAATTTGGAGTGGACTATTAGGCTATTATTATTATTATTATTATTAATATTATTATAAAAAACTTGTTATTACTAACAAATGCTAAATTTCTATGTCAAATTGGTCCTCAGTCAATCAAATGCCTCGATTTCAGAATCTTACAACAGTAAAACTGTTAGATGCTGCTTGTAAAACTGTTATTAATAATAAGTTTAATGAAACGGGGCCCTGGGATGCTGGTCGCTTGGCTGTGACCGGGGTAATAATGTTCAAGTGGCAGGAGCATCACAGCATGACGGACATGAGCGCTGTACATTATAAAAAGCCACCACCATTATTATTATTATTAGCATTATATGTAGTTAGTTCTTACATTAAT